CTCGATTGCGGCGAGCAAGTTCACACAGGATACACACCACCGCCCCACGTACGGCAGGATCATTGTCGCAACGTTCGCTGTGATCATCCAGCTTTTCCTTTAGCCGTGGGTACGTTGGCCGCAGGGCGTCAGGATACTCAAAAAATATGCGATACAGACTAAGCACCGCCTTCTTGCGGACGTAATTTCGTGGATGATTCAGCAGATTCACAACATCCACAACAAGGTCCCTCGCAATGTTCTTTGTGCAGATAGAGGAAATACAGTAAAGCGCAAACCCCACTTCGTACTGATTCGCACTTGCGAGATCGCGCTTCAGTAATGCCGTCAGAAGCGGCAAGACGTCTGTCTTCGGGGTGAAGGTGATGCATGCCGCCATGTATCCAATACGCTTGTGCGCAAATGATCTATCAGCCATGACTTCAATAATGTTAAACGCCCCGTATGCTGCGGAGTAACCGAGCATAGAGAAGTACACCGCCTTCAGCACCGCTGTGACCTTCACACTCTGCACCGTGGATGTAATCTCCTTCCGTGTCTCCGCGATGCATTGCTCAATCACCTCCGCCTCGCTCTTCTTGGCGGAGCGCAACTTCCGCACAACTTCCGCAAGGGAGTTTTGGAAAAGAATCTGACTCGCCACCCGCGTTGCCTCCGCCATCACAAAGCCGCAGTGGCAGTACTAACCGGGGGAGAGGGGGGGGGGAAACCGACCAGTCGGTGCAGCAGGTACCGCAAACAATTCTAAAACAAACCAACCAAACAAAAACAAAAAGAAATTAATCAGTTCACAGCCAAAAGAGCAACTGACTTGTGTACAAACAAAAAAGAAAAAAACAACAACAAAGGAATAAGAAGCAAGAAAGAGAAAACAAGTGAACAAACAAAATGTAATGGCACACACACACATCAATAAAAACAACAACTAATGAACAGACAGGAGAAGACGCGCGACTTCTTTATTTTTTTTTTTTTTTAAAGGAAGGGAAGTTCCGCAGCAAGAGAAAAAACAATGAAATGAAGACGCAGCGGCAGCAGCAGCCTAAAGAAAGCAAAACAAAACAAAGAAGAATAATAATAATAAAGAAAAAGAGAAACGTTTATTCGTTTTGCATCCAAAAGGAAATGGGCGGTAATGACAATATCAAACGTAGAAGCCATCACATCTCTTGAAGAAACTGTCCAACCGCCCAGCACCCTTCTTCTTTTCGTTACTCTCCTGTACTTCCCTTCCCACCACATGTTGCATCCTCTTTTTCTTTTTTTTTTTTTCTATTTTTTTTTTTTCCTTTTCATTGTGTGTGTAAAGGGGCATTATTCCCATCCCTCTCTTTCCCTCTGTCCCCTTCCTTACAGTTCGGCCCCAAGAGCCGACACTTTATTCTGAATTCGGCTCTGCGCCTCTTCCTTGATTTCGTTCAGCTTCTTGACCGCTGCACGCACAGCCTCCACGGTCTTTCCAATAAGTAGCAGGTACAGCGGCCGCACGCCCTCACGCAGGCGGTGGGAGTGTTTGTACTTTCGGTCAAAAAAGACACCCTTTCGGATTATTGTAGTTCCCGTTTCCTCCTGCACAGAACGCAACAAATTCGCGCTCTGCATCCGCAACCGAATGCGCTCGGGAAGATCGTTGATGGGATACTCGGCCTCAAAACGAGCACATGTACCGGAAGGATCAACAATGGAGTCAGTCGTCTTCCGCGCGTACGCAAGTGCAGATGCGAGACGTTCCTGTTGTTCTTGTTGCTGCTGCGAGGAGAGTGTAAGGGCGCTAGTGTCCCTGTACAACATGAGGGCTGTAGAATCCTCCTCATTGCGACTGCCACCACCTCGGGTTCCATCTTCGTGCACTGCAACAATCTCAATACCGTCCTCCTTCCCATCTTCATCACCTTCAGACAAATCCGAGTCCGTGCAGGAGCTGGCGGATAAATACTCTTCAAGCCCTGCTGCCCGCGCTGCCGCCTTAAATTGTTCTTCTTGACCGCGGTCTGTAAAGCGTAGCTTCTTTGCCTTCATGTAACCCCTGTAAAACCCCGTGTTGTGCCGTACAATGCCCTCCTTACGTTTCTCTCGTAACTTTGCAGCCCGCTCATATAGTTCCTCTGGTACCTGCTGCTGTGAACGTTCAAGGCCCTCACAGAGTTCCACGGATAAGTCGTCATCCTTCCCACGC